GATATCAGGAGGAAATTCTTGGCTCTGAGGGTGATGAGCACTGGCACAGGCTGCCCAGAGAAGCTGTGGCTGCCCCTGGACCCCTGCCAGGTCCAAGGTTGGACTGGATGGGGCTTGGAGCAAGCTGGGATAGTGGCTGTAGCTCCCTCAGAGTGTTTGTGAAGGCTGGAATTACAGGGATGATCTCCTGATCCATCCTGGCAGCTCCCATGTGTGCACCAACCCTTTGCTGTGCTGTCAACAGGGACTTGAAACACATTCACACCTAAAGCACAGGGATGTCCACACCTCTGGGAAATGATGGGACCTCTGTAGACCCTGTCTCTGGGTTTCAGTGACAAATCTCCTCTCCCTCCTTCAATCACTGTCTGTATAAAATATGGATTTCTAGCTAATGGTGAAAAGCTGTTGCATTCTGCTCCCCAGAGCATTGCACCCCTGACTGAGTGGGCAATGCTGCTTGTCACCTCCCAGTGCCCAGGGGAGCAGCAAGGCAGGGCCTGTTTCAGCCACAGACCACAAGGCTGAGCTGGGTTCCATCTCCCTTGGAGCCCAGGGAGTTCAGCTCCAGAGGAAAACCCCATGTGCAAACCAAGGGCTCCCAAATTCACTGGGGAAAACTCTCCCATGCAGAAATTGACCTTAAAAAGGCCAGGGGATTATTCTGGCAGCATGAGAAAGATGTTCTTGTATCCAGATTTACAGTGACAGCTCTTTTTTAGGTGTCCCAAGTCAAAGGGATGTCCTTTAACTGGGATGTCCAGACTGGGACAAGCTGGAGAAATTTGCTTTATCACAGGGGCTTCCACTCTTGTGAGAGGTGGAGCCAAGTCTGGCAAAACCATAAGGTTTGGAGCACGAGTCCTGTGAGGAGTGGCTGAGAGAGCTGGAGCTGTTTAGCCTGGAGAAAAGGAGGATCAGTTGTTGGGAAGGATGAAAGTTTGACAAGAAAGTCTCACAGAGATGTGTGCTTAGCAGAAAGATTTTTAAATGTGGAGTCTGATGAAGGAATAGAGAGGGAAGCAAGTTTTGATATAGAAGAAAAGAATTGCTGATAACCAAGGAGGCACAGGGTGTGTTAGTTAGAAGGGGTTTTATGGCTTAGAGCAAAGGATAAACCCACCCCAAACAAGAAGATGTTTTTACCAAGCACAAAGAGAGCACAGGCAAACAAGGCAGCAAATGGTGCAAGTAGTAAAAAGGTCTCAGAATTTTTCACTGCAAGAAAACTGAAAAACAACTTCTAGCTTAAACTGTAATGCACTAACTTTGAGTGATTGGAGAACAGTACCATGAATATGGTAATTACAATAGTTATGACAGGCTGTAGATAACAGTTCAGGTATAGATTGTTTCTACTGCATGAAGATGCTCAGCAAAGAAAAGTCTATAATGCACTGTAACCAAAACCAAAGGGTCTGCAGGGCTGCCTGCAGCTGGAGCTGACAGCTGTGGGCACAGCTCTGTCACCCACAGCCCTGGGCTGCTGTGACACCTTGGATACAATAAACTGCATTTTGGATGCCATAAACTGCATTTTGGATGCCATAAACTGCATTTTGGAGAGCCCCTGGAGTCCCACATCCCTCATCTCGGCTCTTACAGTCAGTGAGGATCTCATTGCTCCTCACAACTCCCTGAAAAGGGCTTGTGGTGAGGTGGGGTCTGTGTCTTCTCTCAGGTAACCACCCCCAGGACAAGAACAAATGGCCTCAAGCTGCACCAGGGGAGGCTCAGGTTGGATATTGGGAAAAATTTCATCAGTGAAAGAGTGGTAAAGCATTGGAAGAGGCACTGGTTGACATTGGAAGAGGCTGCCCAAGGCAGTGGTGGAGATCACCATCTCTGGAAGCGTTCAAAACACAAGTAGAAGTGGCACTTCATTATATGGTTCAGTGAGCACAGGAGTATTTGGTCAAAGGTTGGACTTGATCACCTTGGAGGCCTTTTCCAACTTTAATGATTTTATGATTTTATGAAAACAGCTTTTAATAACCACACAGGTAATAACAGAACCACTCTTATCTCTGGGGCACAGACAGGGCTGAGCTGAGGGGAAAAAAAAAAAACAGAACAAGGAGAAACCTCCTCCTTCCCCAGGGATAGCAAAAGCCCTGGTGCCTGTCTATCTTTAAAAAGGTCAGGGTAAGCCATCACCCCCCTGTCCCTCATCTCCACAGATCAGATCTCCCAGTACCACTGGGGGCAGTGAAAACCTCTGATAAGTCAGATTTCACCCTTTTATAAAAGATCTATCCATGGTTTGTAGAGTGGGTGGGATATTTGCTCCCCAAGGGCAGCCTCTTCATAATCCTGCCTCCAGCAAAGGCAAACCCCTGCACCCACTCACTGAGGCTCTCCAAATGTTGATTTATTCCAGCATTTAAAGTGTGTTCTGTCACGAGCACACAGGTAGTGACTGCACTGCTGGGATGGCAGCGCTGTCACTCACTCTACCTGCCTCAGATAAAATCAGATTTGGGCAAAGGCTGATGCAGCGCTGAGTGTTTCACAGGCTCACATCAGATTTTAAATAACAACAGCCACTGCCTTTTTCACCAGCCTCTCTCACAGAGACACCCATGGGCGTCAAAGATGGGTGGGAGGAGATGATTGATAAATCACAGGGGGCTCAGAGCTCACAGAATCACAGAATATCTCGGTTGGAAGAGACCTTTGAGATCATCAAGTCCAACCCATGCCGTAAACACCTTAACTAAGGTGCCGAGAGCTCTCTACAGGGCTTGGGGTCCTAAAAACACCAACTTTGACTTGTGCTTTGGAACAGCCAAGACCAAAATGAACCTGCTTGTGCTGTCATGGTCAGGGAAGTGCAGGTAGTCAATGGACCAGCAAAAAGAAGTTTTTTGAAATCTCTGGAGGAAAAATGAACTGTTCCTCTTGTTCCAGATTTCATGTTTTAAGGATGTGAGGGAATGGTGTTTGTTGTCCCACTGCCCTTTCCCCCAGAGGCTTGAGACAGCCCCTGGGAGTGTCTGTAAGTCTGAAGGGCTGTGCAAAGGCAGCAGTGGTGTCCAAGTCTCAGGTTTCATTGTTTTCAATGGCTCCCAACGTAGTAAAAGTCTTTTTTCCCCAGCCCTGTGACTGAAGAAGTCGTCGAGATTCCTCAGCTCTGCTTTTCAAGGTTGTTTATTTTCCATTATCTATGACATTCTTTCTCTGACCTGCTGAGATCTGTCCAGCAGGTTGGGTTGTGGCACAGTCCCTGCCCTTGGGGTGGTGTTGGCTTTTTATACCAAGAACTACCTATACTTTATTCACAATAATTTTCCAATACCCATCACCTATGTTAGACAGTCTGGCTCTACTCTAAACCAATCCAAAAGTGCCAACATCACAGCAGAAGATGGAGGACAAGAAGACAAAGGAGAAGAAGGACAGGGCACACCCAGATTCCTTCATCTTGCCTCTTGAACCCCCATTCTAAATCCCATTCTAAATCAACTCAAACTCTTGTGGCTTGTAACTCCCCACACAAAGTTGGGAATTGTTTCCATGGGCTAGAATCAAAGGCACAGGTGTTTGTGACTCTGTGCCAAGGTCTCTGAGCCCCTGCCACGGTCTGCAATCACCCAGGGCAGCCAGAGCAATGTCCTGGGTCCTGACATCTGAGGTGACCTCAGGTGGGCCTGCACAAGGAGGACACTGAGCACACCTGAAAACCCTGGGTTGGTTATTGGTGCATTCATTGTTCTGCTCCAGGGCTTTGGCCCTCAAGGAGCCCCACTCTGTGCAGAAGGAAAAAGAAAGGGCCCAGGCAGCAAAAGGATGAGGAAAAGGAATGGTGTCATGCTCAAAGTCTTGCAGGAGCTCAGTATCACCTGCCTCCAGCTTCTCATCCCATTCCAAAAAGTGACTGGAAGTGTTTCCACTTGGGGACTGGAAGTGAAATCCCATCTTTGCCCAGCATGGAGCAGATGAGAAGGAATCCCAGCTCTGTCGTCCTGTCCTGTCTCCTGAGTTATGGCATCTCTCAGCCTCTTTAATCAGGAGGAATTTACAGAGTTGCTCCCCTCCCCACACCAAATTTCAGGTATAAATATGCACAGTAGAGCGAAATGGTTGGAGACATCACAAACCACTTGATTTTAAGTGGTGCAGGAGGAAGAAATGACCCTTGTAGATTAAAAATATAACAAGTAATACTTGTTTAATAAATCATTGAACATGTATGGGTGAACATGTCCCCCTCAGACTGCTGGCCTCCACTCCAGGGCAACTACCATCACCCACCACAATCCCTCATTGCTCCCATTCTTTTTGTGGATTTAGAGCTCCTCACGAGCATCTGTGAATCAGCCAGGTATGATAGCTCAAGTAATCCTGCACACCCACAGGACTCAGTATAAACAGTGCATTCTTCATGTAAAAGTATCTCCTCCTCCCACCCCCAGCCCAAGCAGCAAACTTCCCAAGGCCATGAATTCCACTGAAATCAGCCAGGGTTCCATGCTGAATGCCCAGGTTATTTCTTCCCTGGGATCTGGCTGCCAGCATTTTCAATCACAATGCTGACAACACAACAGGAACACCACACTAAACTGGGTCTGCATCCTGGCTGGCAGCATCCTGCACTCTCTCCCAGTGTCCCAAAGAGGCTCCAGCCTCTCCAAAAACTCCAGTTAGAGGCAGTTATTCAGTGCTACACCTTCCTGTGTCTGTGGCAGATGCAGCCACAGTTTGGGTGGGGATGGAGAACAATGCAGCAGCAACTCCTTGTCCAGCAGCCAGCAGGACAAAACAACTCTGGGGGTGGTTCCTGCCCCTTGAGTTCTGTGCCCCTGGCCCCTCAGTATTGCAAAAGTATATAAATGCCATGGGGTTATGAGCATAAAAACCCTGAGACTGACAACAGAGCCCATCCTTGTGGGAAGTGTGGTCACTGGCAGAATTAATGAGCAGCCTGATGTCCACAGCAGGATGGAGCTGAAAGGTTTGTAAAGGTTTATAAAGCAGCAGGGGCTGCTGGAGTTCCTTACCTGCTTCTCAGACATGATGTAGAGATGCTCGTGGTCCATGGAGAAGGCCATGTCCCGGAGGATGGGGCCAGTGTCCACCACCTGCACGATCTCGTACTCCAGCGTGTTCTTGCTGGTGCCATCCACACGGATCTGTGCAGCAACAACAAGAACACAGGCACAGCGTGAGCATTGTTCCCTCCTTCCACTGAAAACAAATAATTACAGAACCACAGAGTGATTGGTGTTGAAATGAACCTTAAAGACCATCTCATTCCTAACCTCCTGCCATGGGCAGGGACAGCTTCCACCATCCCAGGCTGCTCCAAGCCCTGTCCAGCCTGGCCTTGGACACTGCCAGGGATCCAGGGGCAGCCACAGCTTCTCTGGGAAGCCTTCTCTCTCACCACCCTCACAGAAATATACATCTACTTTTAATATATACACAAAATTATATATATATATATATACACACACACATATACATATATATATACATATATATATAAATTTATATATATAAATTTATATATATACATTTATATTTCTATCTATATTTCTATTTGTATATTTATATTTATACATTTACTTCTAGTTATAGTATTTATATTTTATATATTAAATATATTTATTTTATATATAAATGATAATATAATATATATTATAATTATATAATACATTATATAATTATATTATATATTACATATTACATATTATATTATATAATGTATATATTATATAGATTATATATACATTATGTATATTATATGCATGTATATTATATATTATTATAAATGTATATAGACATATATTATTATAAATATATGTATATAGACATATATGCATGTCTATATATATACAGATATATAGGTATATAGATATGTACATATAATATATAGATAATATAATATATATATTATATATATACAAAATAATTACTGGACAAATGTATTCTGCCCCAGGTCTTTCAGACAACAACCACTGTCAACAAGAAGTGAACTTTTCCCAGCCTCCCCACCAAGAGGAAGAAGCAGATTTCATCACTTCTGCTGCTCCCATCAACACAAGAGCACTGTGAGAACAATGCAGAGCATGCTGGCTTTTATCTGGCACTGTCACTGTGCTCCTGTCAGCGCCTGGACAAATCCACCATGCTCAAAATGATGGCAATGAGGGAAGGATCTGGGGTGGTGATGAGCAGGAGATAAAAAACCACACAAATCTGCAGGAGTGACTCACTGGAATGCCACTCAGATAATATTATTGCTCTTATTGCTAATGTTCCATGGGGCAATTTATTATTGCAGAGTGTTCAGTGCAACACAGACTATTTCTCTTGCTGATTGCATATATCAGGTATTGAAATCAGTCCTGCACCAACGTGGCACCTTATGATTCCAGACACCTCTCATAACAGGGTGTCACTTAGGGACATCAATAACTGGGATTATGAGGAGGAACCAGACAAACAGTCCCAGTCTGTCCCTGACAGTGATCCAGTGATGCAGAAGAAAATGCAGAAAATTACAGACTTTTCTTTGCCTGCTTAAAAACAATTTCTGGAGTTTGGGCTCAAAAGCAGCTGGAGAAGGTTTGCAATCCCTTTCAATATAGAACAAGTCATGATAAAACAGCTGTTCTCAGGAGTTCTCCTGAACCTTGTGAGGTTCTGTGCAGCAGCAAACCCCACAGTCATGTTTCAGAGTTTCATGTTTCCACGTGTTTCATGAAACATGTTTCATGTTTCCACGTTCCTTATGTCCCTCTGTTTCCCATGTGTTGCCTTTCACTTTCTGAAAATGTTCTATCCTGCAGCAACACAAACACCACAGTACCCTTTCCCTAAAGGAAACAAAGTTGTAGGAGATCTTCATCCTGCCCCACATTATCATCTCCATTCCTTCCTGACCAAAGATTCCCAGCCTGCAGTTGGATAGCTGAGCAAAAAGCACCCTTCCCATCCAAGGGAAATAACAAGCTGTGGAGAACTTATGGTGTCAAGACCTGTTCCCACTATTCCCTGGCACAGTCCTTGAGCTTGTTCCTTCTGTATCAACCTCTCAGCCAAGAAACTGAGCCTGAATCATCTTCTGTATTGGAAAGTCAAAAAGAAGGGAACAGAGGGAACGATAAAGGGTCTGGAAAGCCTGTATGAGTAAAGGACAGCAGTGATATACAGATTGTTATCTTTGTCCTTCCTTGATCTACTCACCTGCTGTGGGACAACAAAGGAATATTATTTCCCCAGGAAAGATAAAGAAAATGAAGCAGATAGGATTTAAAGGGGCTCTCTGTGCCAGCAAAGGGTGTGGAGGGTGCTCAGGGATGCTCAGATCCTGCATGTTATCCATCAGACTCCCCAGAAGTGGGAGCACGTGCTGGCCTTGGCTGCTGGGCTGCTCCAATGACAGGGGAGGATTTGCAGTTAATTTGTCATCTTGATGGAGCTGCTGATGAGAGCAGCACACATCCAGCATCAGCACACACAGAGGTCAGGGCATAAAGTCCAGCACTGAGCATCCCTGATGCACCAAGGGGTCAGGGACTGAATCCCAGCACTGAACTGCCCTGAAACATGAAGAATTCAGGGCCTAAAGCCCAGCACTGAATATCACAGACACACAAAGAATTTTGGGTCTGAAGCCCAGCACTGAACTTCCCTGAAACACAAAGAATTCAGGGTGTAAAAAGCCCAGCACGGAACATCCCTGAAGCACAAAGAACTGGGGGTCTGAATCCCAGCACTGAACTTCCCTGAAACACAAAGAATTCAGAGCCTAAAGCCCAGCACTGAACATCCCTGAAACACAAAGAATTCAGGGTGTAAAGCCCAGCACGGAACATCCCTGAAGCACAAAGAACTGGGGGTCTGAATCCCAGCACTGAACTTCCCTGAAACACAAAGAATTCAGAGTTTAAAGCCCAGCACTGAACATCCCTGAAACACAAAGAATTTGGGTTCTGAATCCCAGCTCTAAACATCCCTGAAGCACAAAGAATTCAGGGTCTGATTCCCAGCACTGAATATCACTGAAACGAAGAATCAGGGTCTAAATCCCAGCACTGAACATCCCTGAACCACAAAGAATCCAGAGCCTATTTCCCAGCACTGAACATCCCTGAACCACAAAGAATTCATGGTCTGAAGCCCAGAGCTGAACATCCCTGACTCCCACCAGCTTTGGCTGCCTGGAAGCAGGGGCTTGCTCATTTCTGTGGTCCCTCACAGGGAAATTCAGCTCCTCTGAGTTCTTCCTTCTTGAAAATGGACCCTGATGTAAATCACCCATGAGGCCAAGGGCAAAGATGCCAAGAGGCTTGGGCTGAGTCATTCCCCTTGGGACAGGCAGGGGAAAGGAAGGAGGCAGGAGGAGCTGCAGGCTGAGGAGCACAGGAGGCTCCCTGTTGGGGCTCTGCTCCAACACACCAAATACCCCCAAAGCAGGAACCTTTCCTCTTTCCCTCTGAGGCTTTCCAGCTCCAAGTTCTCCCTCTCAAGGAGCATTCAGGGAGCTTTTTCTGCTGTCTCCACTCTGCCTCCCCTCAGTCCCTGGTGGCTTCTCATTCCTGTCACAGCATCCTCGCTCTCTGCTGATCCCTGTGCTAAACAAACCTCACATCTCCACTTTGACCTTGATTTTCCAGCACCACCGTGGTCAGATCTGCAGGCTGCCAGATATGTAAGCAGCCAATTATCACCCCAGGGCTCAGTCACTGTCCTCAGCCTTTGCCAGGCCCCATTAGAGGGGAAAGAGCACGGAGATGGAAGAGGCAGGCTGGAGAGGAGTTAACAAACCATGGAGACAGGAGGCACAGCCCCCAGGGATCTCCCCTGTGCATTTGGTGCAGGTAAAAGATTGCAGAGGCTTCACACCAGGAATGCAGAGCTACTCGGAAGTGATTTAACAGCTATTGCTGGCCTAATAGCCTGAAAATTCATTATTTTCCAGAGGGGGAGGGAGGGAAAGAAGGACAGGGCTTGTTGTGCTGTACATGTGCAAACACACACACGTGGCACACTCCCACAGCCCAACAGCTCTACATGCAGAAACCCCTCTCTCTATTAAATCTGGTGGCTAATAAAAAGGAAAATTCAGAAAAAGGCCAGAAAATCTGGCAGACACCAAGCCACACTGCACAGCCTGTGCAAGCCCTGTGCCAGCAGTGAGGTGATTATGGGAGACTGCAGCCACAAGTGTAGCCCCTAACTCCAGCCATGCCTTCACCTGTCTTAAACACTCTCTTTCTTATGTTGGACCCCAGGCACAGAGCCCCGAGGATCTCCACCTTCTCTACACATTCTGCACAGTCCTGAGAATCAGACAACACAACTGGATTTTCTCTTTGAGATTTATTCCTGGCTCCGAGGCTCCTGCTAGAACCAGAGCATTTGGGCTGGTGAAAAAAATCAGAGAAGAGTCTGTGAAGGAAAAATGGGAAGATTCTCATCAAACCCTGCAGGTGATCACCACTAAAGTCAGGGACCCAGAAACAATCTCTGCTTGGAAACACAAGTTTCCAGCTGCAGGGAATTTGAAGAACATACCCCCCCTTCCCTCTGCTCCTGCTCTTCTCTGCTGGCATCAGCCCCCAGCCCCACTTGGAGCTGGGGTGCTGGCATGGATGGAGGTTTCTTCTGACTGAATGATGGGCATTCCCATATTCAAGATGTTTTTGGGGGCTGTAGGAGATGAGAACCTGGCTAACAGCGCAGTTGGGGTCGCTTTTGGGAGCTGCCTGTGAACCATGAGCTCCTTGGGAGGGGGACAAGTGACACAGGGGGCTCCAGGACTACATGTGAGTCTCAAAATGCCCAGTCCACCACAACCCACAGTCCACAAACACCCCCATCACCCCCACAATGGAATCATCCACCTGCTCCCCCTCCCTGAATGTCTGTCCTGGACATGCCCACCCCTCAGAGCCCCAGATGCTCAGCTGTCATTTATGAAAAATCCTTTCCTTAGGATTTTTCCTCCTGAGAAGCTGAGAGATCTCAGGAACAAAATGTAACCAATGGTTATCTGCTGCTGTGGAATGCAATAGGTGCATCTGTGACTGGCCCATGTTCGCTGTTTTTAATTAATGGCCAATCACAGTCCAGCTGTCTCAGACTCTCTGTCCAAGACAGATTTTGTTATCATTCTTTCTTT